TAATTCAGTGACTCAGAGAATCGCAGAGTTGTGCGGCTCCATCCAGTTTTAGAACATTTCTGTCATTTCCTGTCCCCACCTCCAGCCCCTGGTCACCACCAACTGCTTTCTGTCTCCGTGGACTTGCCTGTTTTGGACAGGGCACGTGAAGGGAACCTCGCCCACCTGGTGTGTCACTGGGTGACACTGCGTGTTCTAGGCTCAGCTGCCTGGCGATGGGCTGGGCTTTGTTCCATTCTGTGGCCGAGTGACGCTCCTCCATGTGGACAGGCATGTTTTGCATCTTCTGCAGGCACCCGGTTGTCCACTCCCGGGCTGTGCACGCCTGGGTACGAGTGTTCCTGCGGCCGTGCGCTTTCGCTTCTCCAGGACAGGGCTCCAGGGCCCCTCTGCTGGGTTGCGTCGGGGTTTGAGAATCGCATTGGTGGTGAGGGTCGACCTCGGCCTCCGCACAGCGTGCCACACACAGTGCGCCACACACAGCGCCTAGTAATGCTCCTGGCCACTGTTTACGTTCTTTCTTTCTTTGTTTTGAGACAGGGTCTCACTAAGTCGGTTAGGGCCTTGCTAAGTGGCTGACGCTCTTCTTGAACTTGCAGTCCTCCTGCCTCAGCCTCCCGAGTCTCTCGGATCTCAAGGGCCACCACACCTAACTACCTACATTCCTTACAAACAGTTTTATCTGGTGATTTTGACCTGTGGACTTACTTGTGTTTTTGGTGGCTTTCTCTGTAGTCCTCGATCAGTGTCCTGAGGTTTCCTTTGGTCACTGAAGTCTTAGCATCCACATATGGAACAAGCCGTGTGTCTGCAGGGCTCGGGGTTACCTGTAGGACGGAATCCTGGCTTCACCTGTGCACATCAGGAGCATCTCTGAGTGCTTCACATGTGCCAGGCCAGGGGCCAGGGTGACTTACCCTTTGTCCCCAGGCCCTGTGGCCTGGCCTTGTGTTTGTTGAATGAATGCAAACAAAGCCACTGCCCTCAAGGAACTGCGTGTGGCTGCAGGGCCAGGGCACTCCCAGGTGGACATCCAGACTGGGACCACCAGCCCCTGTGTCACCGTGACTCACAGGGGCCAAAGCCAGCTTTCGAGAGCCAGCCGTGCTGCCTCTTCCCCGCCCGGTACGAGGCAACATGATGCTGCTATCACCGAGTGGGCACTGACTCAAGGAGAGGGGCGGCAGCCACAGACCAGCACGTCCCCTTTCCTCTTCTTCGTCCCTTCCTTCTCTTGGGGAGCCTGGTGCTGGCCGTCGGCAGCGCCGCCCGCCTTGCCCGCCTCACCCATCACCCCTCAGCAGCTGGGTCTGTGTAGATGAGGAAGGGCACTCGCAGATTGCAGCGACTTGCCCAGGGGGACACAGCCAGGAGTGACAGAGCCTGAAGTCACCCCGTGTGGCCCAGCTCCGTGGTCCAGGGGGACGCAGCACCCCTACTTACCCTTCTCTGACCTCCGGCGCAGGATTCTGCCTCGGCGTCCCTCTCTGGTCCCCCGTGAGCCACCTGGGGGCAAACTTCCCGCTCGGCACCTGACCCGAGCTCTGTGTTTTCATCTGTCTCTGCAGAATTTTGCAAAAGAGTTTGTGATCAGCGATCGGAAGGAGCTGGAGGAAGATTTCATCAAGGGCGAGCTGAAGAAGGC